TATATTATATATATCTATATTATATATATTATATATATATGTGTGTGTGTGTGTGTGTGTGTGTGTGTGTGTGTGTGTGTATAATCAGGCCGCCTACCACTGCTGTAATATAAAAGTAGCTAGACCTTGCGGATGATACAGGTATGATCGCGTTTCTTGGCAGAGAACACTTATCGCGTAAGCTCAACAAATGAACTTTGAAAAGTTGATCATAAAATGTTTGCACCAATATTTGATACACAACAGGTGCCCGAAGAAAACTTCGCACTCTCAAGGCCACTCATCAATGTCGCATGGAAGTATTACGCATGACGCAGGTAGACAGATCGTAGTCACTGCCGCATTGTATTTAGCTTGATGGTAATATAGAATAAATCTAGAACAAATCTAGCATGTATATGTGATTTATTTGTTGTTGTCTTCAATACTCCCAGGGCAGGTCTTGTCACTAATGATAACGCGTTCCGAATGGTCACCACCTCGCGTGTTTGGTTAACCATGCCCCATTCGTCGGCTATGTCCGCGTGCGTATGCTTTGTTCCACATAGCCGGCGTCACACACGCACACACACACTCTCAAGTCCACTTCCCACTCTCGCAAGTCCACTTCTTTATGTAAGAATCAAGCACCCACGAGTCCATATTCCCAGTTTCTCCATCTGCGTTGTTCGGTCGTCGCCCAGTTTCTTCACATTCGCATCTTCTTCTCCGAGCCGGGGTTCTCGATGAAGTACCTGGTCAGATGTTTGAAGCTCACAAAGTCCACTACACACCAAATATACATAACAGACGCACATATACAACGATGGCATACGCATAAACATATAAACGTATATGTTGCACCAGTACATAGAGCAGGCGCAGGTGGCACACACGTGAAAAATTCGAGTTTATTTCATACATATATAGACGTGCCCATGTTACACGTTGAATACGTACATACAAGTTTCCCATGCACACAACATAGCGCAGCCACCCGAGCACCACAACAGGACATCACAGGGAATACAGCGTTGGAACGGAATGAGTATTAAATGACGCTACAGATGATAAACGAACATCGGGTGGAGCTGTCACAGGTACTTCCAAATAGCGTTTATTGACGGTCTTGTTCACTACTATTTCACCAATAAGTGTATATACAGCTACCGGCACCCACTCGCTTAGGGGTGATCCATACATATATGCTAAGATCCCGTCTATAGCTACGAAGATCTGCAGTAATCACTCGCCCCCACGCAGCGTAGCCTCGGCCTCGGCCGAACATCACTGTGCTACTCATGTACTCCTCAGAGTTACTCATGTACTCCTCAGAGTTACTCATGTACTCCTCAGAGTTACTCATTCATTTACTTTAGGTGGGCGAAACTCACGAAGTTGACTGCGCACGGACGGAGAGTGGGCCGAAGGGACACACAGATAGACAGGACAAACAGAAAGAATTATTAGTACCAAGACTCGTTTCATTATACTATAGTATGTACATATAGTATGTGCACATTCAAGAGTGTAATAGCGCAGTATAGTATAGTAGATACCAACGGTAGAGGTTCTAACCCGTATCCAAGGCACCTCCTGATGTATATCAAGGTCGGGTCTTCGTACGCCTCAGATGCGCTAACATCGCCCGTGCGCGTGCTGTTAAAAGCTGTCGAACCTACACTCTTCCGTTACCATCCAGTCGCACTAATCCATCACCAAACACTCAAATACCCAAGCCAACAAGCAAGGGCCAAAGCCCTCCGAACACCCACGCACAGAAACAACCACCCAACCCCCCCCCAATACATACACAATACACCCCCCAACCCAACCCCAACCACCACACCGTACACCCGTCTGTATCACAAGCACCACCCCACACACCACACCACACCTACCGTTGTCGGGCTTGCTGGCTTCCTCGCCCTTGGGGGCCATAGCACTCGCCACCGCCGCAACCTTATCGTCCGCCAAGTTGTCGCCCTTGGTCAGGGTGGTGTTGGTGAGGTCCAGTGACTTGTGTCCCTTGGCCATGAGCTGCTCCCAGAACCCGTTGGTCTCCTCTACCACACCCAGGGCAAACTCCTTGTCCTTGTACTCACCTCCGAAGGCGAACTCGTTGGCGGGCTTGCCGTCGGCAATCTGTGTGCGTGGATGTGATTGTGGAGATGAAGGGGATGTGAGGGTGTGCAATGGGCTATGTATGAAGGGTGCGAGTGTTCTCCTGTGGTAGATGATTTATAACGTTCTATTTTTAAAACTCTATGGAGGTTTAGGGTTTTGGTATTGGGTACGGCATAGCGGCTAGCGGCCTGGGCATGAGACAAACCGATGATCACTGAAGTGACATAATACGGGCGATTGGAAGTCTACAACTTGGCTTTGATTAAGGAACAGTTTAAACGGATACCACACTTGATCCCCACAACTACGGCTGCGAACTGTCAAGAAAAGTACACTCCATACATCCCGTGTGAAGCTTAAGCATCGAACTGTGGGCAAACGAATACAACCCTCTACCTTCACATGAGCTGGAAGTACCTATTCAACAGTACATGTATACTAAACACCAGCTACGTACTGTATGTTTATGTACACACACCTTGTAAACTATATGCCGATGCGAGTATACACTCCTTAAAAATATTTATGTGTACATACCTTGTAAACTATATATCCATGTACACACGCCTTGTAAACTATATATGTATGTATGTATATATGTATATTTATATATATATATTAAATATATATATATATATATATATATATACCTTGTAAACTATATGTACACGCACCTTGTAAACTATATGTACACACACCTAGTAAACTATATGTACACACACCTTGTAAACTATATGTCTATGTACACAATATATCTATATACACACCTTGTAAACCTTGAACCAGTCGCGAGTGGCATCTAGGAAGCCGGGCATCTCCTTCTCAATGTCGCCGATGTCGTTGAGCTTAGAGGCGAGGGGGTCTGATGTGCGGATAGCCATGATCTTCCAATCGGTCTCGCCTACAATCAGTTGAGATGTAATGGCGATGGGTGTGTAAGAATAGCTTGATAGATACAACACACACACACAAAGGTGCGAACATGTACCGAACTTCCAAGTATGCGAATGGTGATGGATGTATAAGAATAGCTTGAGATGTATAACACACACACTAAGGTACGAACATGTACCGAACTTCTAAGTGTGTGTATCGGGGTTCGCCAGGACCCAGATGCTATAGCACTATATGCTAAATGGTATTGCACCTTGTTTACTTCGAAGCCCCTATACCAAAGACCAGGTGCATCGGACAATCCGAGTGCGTATACAGCAACCAACTCAATCTAAAACCCTGAAACTGTATTACTCTACCCAAACACACTCATCCAGCATCTACCTACCATCATCAATCATGGCCAGAAGCCCAAGGATTTTGACCTCGTACACCTCACCACGGGTGGCAATCTGCTGACCAATCTCACAGACGTCCAGAGGATCGTTGTCGCCCTTGGCCTCTGTGCGGGGGTCGACGTGCTCATCGTCCTCCCAGGTCTATTTATAGAGACGAGTAGGTAACGAGCTATAAATAGAATATCCGGGACAACATGCAATGAACTTGAAGTGTTGTGGGTCGTAAAGGAACGCCCGATTTTGAGAACTGTGTATTAAAGACATGTTATGAAACAGTACAGCCGATGTCGTCAAATAAATGTGAAATGCCACAGAAATCCAGAAAAGAGGACCTAGCCAGCACCAAATACGCATGCCCAAGTAACATATTCGCATACAGAAACTCTAAAGGTACCATTCACCTTGAGCACGCTTTGATTTATACCTCGAATACAGAATCTCATCAAAGGTACCATTCACCTTGAACACGCTTTAATATATATATACCTGAGGGAAAGCACCGTAGTTCCAGATGTATCCGTGGTGGGGGAATGGGTTTACGACGAAACGGATGTTTCCTTTCTTCACGTCCTGCTTGATTGGGCCTAGAGTTTCCTTGGTGGCGATCTATACGTTAAAAAAATGACCGTATGATTTAGCAATGAGAGTCGAAACAAAAAAAACCCCAAATGCCAATGTTTGGTATTTCAAGAAGACCAGGGTGCATTATAATTGATAACATTGCAAATAGATGTGCTGACAGTAAACGTATTCCAACACAGCAACAGTTGAGTAGTAGATAGTAGTCCACAGATGCTATCACCACAATACAAACTTTGGGGCACCTCAGGTCAATATGCATGTCACACCGAACTCTATCAGGATACACCATAGTAGTAGTACACAGTAGCAAATCTGATCCGGAAAAACGAGCGTATGTACGCGAAGCAAAAGTACGATCACTCTATGTCGGGCAGAACTGTCGCAAAACAGCAGTGCTACACTTATTTTTATGTTCAACGTAAAGTTAGAACACGCCAAATCGCCTGTGACTACAAGCAAGTTCAATATGATACGTGCAGATAGGGTCTTCACAATGCGATTACGGATGAATCAAGGTTAAAGGCATGCAATTGTCGCACTGACAAAGCACCGAAAGGGGCAGGTTAATGTATGCGACTCTTTCACCTATAATTTCAGCGAACAAACTTATAGGCATCTATCACAAACACGGTGTACTCTCACCGCAATAGCCCAGACCCTCATCAGTTAAAACAAGGTCAACCGGCGCACAAACCATTGCATAAAGGCACAGATGTGATCTCCGACACCGAATTCAATGATACCACGCGGGAGTTCTCATATACCTCCATCTTGGCGTTGGTGTACCTGGGAATCTCACAGATCATGTTGAAGTTGCCTCCAGCCGACTTGAGAGGGATATCGTGCCATGGGTTGACTAGCTTGCCCTCGGCATTCTTGTAGTACACACGGTATTCGGGGGTGTAGGGTGACCCTATACGGGTAAGAGTATAAAGGAGGAGAATTTGTAAATATAAGCGACATGTATAGTATGGTAGACTCGGTATCCGAGTGTGTGGTGACCATGGAGAGAAGGAAACCCTAATAGCAACATATTCACAGCATTAGGGACGGACAGAGAAATCGTGATTTCTTTCTTTCAAAACAGGCCCGTATAAAAGCATAGTGCAGCAGGTATTGAGAGGACTAAGATGACTCTCAGTCGACAGAACATAAATAGCATATGCAATCCAAGTACATATACAAGACATGCAAGTATCTATATATATATATATATTATATATACACATATATATATATGTGTGTGTGTGTGTGTGTGTGTGTGTGTGTGTGTGTGTGTGTGTGTGTGTATGTACGTGTGTGTGTATGTACGTGTGTGTGAGAGAGAGATAGAGAGAGATAGAGAGAAAAGTACAAATATAAGCAACAAATTACATATATATGCAAATCAAGCCCGACGTCATCCCGAGGTAACTAAGGCAAATGTATACAACAGACATATCCGCTGCTACCACCACTATTTTGAAAACTTATCGTAGGATCAAATAATGAACGCAAGGGTGCGTGGGATGACGGTTATATGACCGAGTGTGTGTGTGACCGTGCCAAAATGGTGAACCACACAGTGATAGTTCAATGTAACTCTCGGTCTATAATATACACGTAAATAGTGTGCACACAACTAAATGCCATTCGAGTCGTAAACCGGAAAGCAGCAAAATGTACGCTATGGTAAAATCAGGGCTCTACAGCTACTACCTATAAAGATATACCAGAACATACATATGTCACAATAGAAGAGGGTCTGAACACGAAAGGGGCCTGTACGACTGTACAAGTCCATTGCAATACAATATTGCTCGTCTTGGTGATTATTTTACATGCATATGATTAAATTGAGAGAGACCCCATGACTTCAGTAGTGACAAATACATACCGGACTCGACAGCGGTGAAACTCATGACTGTACACGCGTTATTGTTGTTCTGTGTATTGTATGTGTAAAGAGTGACTGAGAGCTTGATCAATATATACGGCAAGTTTATATTTATTTACTTCAATTAGTGTTTTTTTTATCCCCCTCGGAGGTTCTCCGATTTCACGACTCACGCGGGTATTGACTCTATGAGGTCCGGCGGGACTCGGTTGCGGCAGAACTCAAATCAGATTTGAAAAGTAAACACTATAATGGTACACTCTTCACAACAGTCAATAGTTCAATACTCGCACAAGAGAAGTCCTTAGTCCATATTGGATCAAGAACAATAATTTATAACTACACAATATCCAAAAATGGGCTTGAGGAACAGTGGTCATATGTAAGGCATATAAGTGGTCCTCAAACAAAGAGCAAACTTTATAACAGGACTTTCTATTGGTTATTGGTGCACTTTACAGAGTCGGCTCGCCCTGAGATTCGCGTTCTAAAAATAGAGTATCAAATATAGATGAACGGTGAATGGTTTAATGATACAGATTTTCCTTACAAACAAGCATATTATCACCTCGAACTATTTTATCTATCAATGACTTTTCATAACTACCACTTTTTTCGATTAAAACGACGTTCTATTCGTTTTTTAAAATATACCTATACTACTACCTATAGCAACAAAATATGTATATACTAATGGGGGCCACTATCAGTCCGTACTCTCTGTATCGGTAGACGGAGGCTCTGACATCGTGCATAGCTACACCCCCCTCTCTCAGTCACTTATTTTCTATTCACCCATCCTATATTTAGAAATAATTGTGTACGGAAAAGCATTCGGAAGAAAGTCAAGAAACACGTGTACCTTATAAAATATATTTAATTCATTAGGTGTCGCAGCGAAATGTTTACCTTTGCCTATTGCTAAACCTATTCCTGCCGTATTCGTAAGAAGTACATCCTCACTTGATAGCCACACAATACCTATCACAGTCAACTCTGTAGTACTATATCTAATAGACTAGTTAAAGTCTACACTTATTAACATACCTAGTATACTAATAACAAAGCCAAAATGCCAGCTCCCGGACAAAATCGACGCAAAAAGTCGCTGTTAAAGAACCACGTGCCCAAAGGCCGGTCGGAAGTGACTGCGATCACCAAGACACTCACAGCAACACAGAAACGCCAGCGTATCACGAATCCCAAGTCAAATGTTACCTTCTCGAAGAAAAAGCTTAGACAAAAGAATAAGAAAAGAGACCAGAAAGAGGTAGCTTTGGCCAACGGGGATGGTATGGTGGATGCCGAAGTGGTCGCTGACGAAAAAATATCTAAAGTGCAATTGCCTGTGGCGAGAAAAGGAACCGTGCTTGGTGGTATGTAGCCTATCTTTTGTGCGAAACATTGTGTAATGTGTGTGTATATATGTATGGACGTATACATAGTTAGGATATATATGTATATGTATATATATATATATATACATGTATAAATTATTATGTGTATATTCTTATATTATTATACAAATATTGAATTTATGTACCAACGTATGTATACCTTTATCCCTATTGTTCGTTTTATGATATCATTTCAAACATGTAACACAATTTCACCTTCCATCTACTTGCAGCTCCCTCTGCCTAAAGGAACCTCTTAATGGAATAGTTAGTCATATATAAATGGGCACCACTGATGGCGCGCTGTAATCACTTTTTCAATGTGGTTACCGCTGGACATTGTATATAAGCAGCGAGAAATCAGGCCAAGATTCGTCATGGGTGCTTGTGTAGAAATAGAGTAAGTAATAGATTATGAATTCAAAAAACAATGATAGTTATCACTTCTAAGCGGCAATCGGCGACACTCCTGCCACCATCCGCGACTAAAAACAAAAATATGTTCAAACTGTATTTAGTTTATATCATTCGTATTGTGCAGGCAGGCTAGTAACTGAATGTCAAAAAAATCAGGATAAATATGTATTTCCCTGTTACGATGCATTTCGCGACCACGAATACAAACTTTGCATGGTGGTGCCTACGATAATACAAAATTCAATGTTTGATTGACATGGATTTCTGACGCACTTTCTAAGTCCACGAAATCATCGTAATTTGTACTACCTCCCATGTACGTACATGCATCTCCTACGTTTTGAAAATACGACCGTAAGAAGTTTACTATACCCGGGTTCTGACGGCTTATTGGGTCGTGGGTAGCGTTTGATGCTGACGCACATCCGGACTGTCAAAGCAACATCCAACCTCTTGTTATCCAGGCACTTTTGAGATCACATTTACGCCTACACTTCGGCGAGTATGGCAAGCGGTCTATCAATCCCGCTATCGATAAGACAATTAGTTCTGCTTATGATTATGAACAAGCATGTTCGCACATGCACAAGCGGTGTCACTAGGTTTCCAGTTACTTAAAAATATTTTCAGTCCACACATTCCAGTGTCTCACAGACAATTGTGTAACAAAGGGGGTGCAGCCGATAATCTATACAAAGCGAAGGCCACAAAGTAAAGGACGCTGGAAAAGATGAGCTAGGCGACCAGTTGATAAAGGCATAACATGGCCCAAGGATTGAATATTCTTGGAGCGACATACACAACGATACAAATCCTTGTATATAAAGTTGACAGAACACAGAAACTGCATCAGTTTGCGTTTAAGGCTTTCCCCCGGAAAACAAATACAAATAGAATCATATGTGAACATTATATATATTCATATATACATACAAATTCATAAAGTACATCAGTATATATATAAATATATTCGGTGTATATATATATATATATATATATATATATATATATATATATATATATATATATATATATATATATATATATATATATATATAGTATATATATATATATATATATATAGTA